GAGTCAATGCAAATGGTACTTAACATCCAGATAAAAGTCATATAAAAACATTCAGGGGGCGCCTGGGTGGCTCAGTCGTTAAGCATCTGCCTTCGGCTCAGGTCATGGTCCCAGGGTCCTGGGATTGAGCCCCGCATCGGGCTCCCTGCTCAGTGGGAAGTCTGCTTCTCCCTCTCCCTCTCCCTCTGCTTGTTTCCTCTCTCGCTGTGTCTCTCTGTCAAATAAATAAATAAAATCTTTAAAAAAAAAAAAAAAGAAACCCCTTATGAAAAAAAAAAACATTCAGTTATTTGGGTATTTCGAACTCATCTTTTTATAAAAGCGGCTAATGACAGATCAGATACAGTAACAGCAGCATATCATAAACTGCTCAGTGTCAAATTTCAACTAATAATGTAGGTACCTGGTGTAATCAGAAAGAACCCCAAGGCCAGGAAATCCAGGATCTGGGGCTCCGTTCTAGGATGAACAAGCAGAATTTGCCTTTAGTCACAGACTAAATGTCATCCACTAAGACCAAAGTCTGAAGCATAGACTGCTAGCGGTAAAAGGACTTTTGAGATCAGCCAGCCGAGGCCCTCATTACGGTCCAGGTAACTGAGGCTCAGGGAGGGAAAGTGACTAAAGCCACAGTCACACAGAAGGTTAGTTCCAGTGCCTCCCAACACACAGCCTCTGAACCCTGGTCCCTGCCCCACTTCCTACCAACGACTTACAAAGTGAGAACAATCACGCACACTTCCTTCTTCCTCACAGATGTGCTGGGATGATGACTGGAACTAACTGGTGTGAGTGAATATGTGCTTGCCTGTATTCAAGTGAATTTGATGAAATAACTAGTCTTGGGGGGAGCGGGGCGGATGCAGTATCACGCAAAACTGGCCGTAGGCATAAATCCTCCCAGGGCCAGTAGGAATGTGTTTCCAAATGGCAGCGGGACTGGCATTTTAGGGAGGACATTCTCCCCAGTCTAGGGTGCTCCTCCCCACATGGCAGGATGTAAAATACACAGCTGGACCCCAGCTACTCAACAGCAGAGACACCTCAGACTGGGCATTGCCCTAGGGCAAGGCAATTTAAAGCATCCAAATGAATGCAAACAATCCTTGGGAAACAACACATAAAAATTCCAAAAATGTTAAATAAAGATGGAATCAGTGTTACTGATTTTTTTTCCTTTTGCCTCAGCCTCCAAAGTGGCCCAGCATGGCAATTTATTGATCCTGACTTTATTTAAAATATTGCTAGTTCGGTCACCATGAGCGTTGGCATTAATTTTGATTCTTGTAATAGTTCATTAAAATACTATCTGGTTTGTGGGGCGCCTGGGTGGCTCAGTTGGTTAAGCTACTGCCTTCGGCTCAGGTCATGATCCTGGAGTCCCGGGATCGAGTCCCACATCGGGCTCCCTGCTCAGCAGGGGGTCTGCTTCTCCCTCTGCCC